TACTTCGCGCGCAGCGTCGACGCGACAATTTTGTTCCTTCTGCACCACATCCCCGAGAGAAAAGGTCAAAAAAGCGTTTCATAGATCCAACTCGGAGTCTTTTACCAGAGATAGGCAAAGGCGTGTCGAAAGAAAAATGGACTGCAAAATACTTCACTTAATTCGATATCGAGAGCTCTGTTTGCTACAAAATTTGACCATCCTTGGCCGTGAATGAATGAAAAATCGAATATAGTGGGCATTTTAAAAGCAGTGCTATATTTGATTAATGTATTTCGTTTCTCACAAGCTCTAAGGGAATATTTTAAAACGTAGTCATTCCAGCTCTTGAACTCTCGCCTACAGTGTAAAATTACAGTTTCTTACAAGTGTTTGACTGGCATAGTAGCGAATAGGAATGACTAACTTATCATGAAGAGATCAAATCCTTAGCCAACCGGGCGAGACTTCAAACCTTCAGCTATGGATATTAAATCCCAGACAGTTTGATCACATACCCATAAAATATTATATGTACTTATGCATAGAGAGTGATGTCATAATGGAAATAAAACGAAAGGACTCTTCGCATTCAGTTCCAACCAGATCAAGTAAACCATCAGTACTTTCATGACAGACGGTTTAAAACTAAATTTGATAAAAACACGGATTGATCATTGATTTCCCCTTCCCTCCGAATAGCCCCTCACTCCATACCATCCTTCGCGGGTGTCGCTGTATGAACTACACTGAAAATCAAATTGTTCCTCAATTTCGAGTAATTGCTGCTACGTAATGTTATTCACAGCGTAATGAGGATCCCTGGTTCTACTTGCCATTTGTCTCTTCATCATTTAGACTCGAAAATTCGTCTTTTATCATTAATAGTAATAAAGACAACTTTCAAAAACTCGTGACCAAACATTGTCAAATGGACTTCTAATACTCTGAAATCTGAGTATTTGGTTTCCTCATGACATATTAGATAATGTTTCCTCGTGAAGAAATCAAGAAAACAACTCAGTACATAGATGCCGGGGTTCAGAGAAAGCCATGCGTGAAGTTACTCTTTCGAATATACACAGTGGTGTCATCCACATAATTACTATGCAGTTATTTCCGCCAGTACGAATACGCGAGTTAGTTGAACTAAACGAAACCTTGGCAAAGCCAATTATGAACGTATGAGCGCAAAGGGAAAGAGATTATGACCGCAATTTTGAGAAATTTTTTAGTTCTCTGTATGCCCTGAATGGAAGTCGGTAGGCCCATCCCACGAACAGGACTGATTATCGCCAAAAACTTTATCCATCTGGCCTTCAGCATTGGAGTAATGCAAAGAGTTCTCAGGTTCCGATTACTTTCTTTTAATTACTCCCAGAAATATCGAAATATTTAAGCAAGCTATTCGGTGACCCCTTTTCATTCAATTGTACTTCTGGACTTTTTTTCAGCTGTAAATTGCCTCATCATTCACCGATAGAGTGCACTTAAGTAAAATCGCTTTTAAATCGCTTTTGTAAATAAAATTTGCATCATCTACAGTTTCCTAGTTCACAGCATGTCAATATAGCATAGCTGTAAATAACGCCACAAACCTGTGTCACAGAAACTATCAACTCACTCTGCTCTGTGAGGATATTGGGGAGTAACTTGACCCGTTTTTTTTGTGGAACCTCGTCATTAGAGAAGGATTTGCTAAAGTGTTGATCGAGGCAATTCATCCCTCACGTCTACCAACTTGTATGCGTGTCAATTACCATACCGGATATCCGATCGCTTTATAGAGAACGGTGACACGTACAGTGATGGTAGGGGGGCATCCACGCAACGGGATCGTCGCGATCTGTGTCTGCCCTCAGTCACCCGCTCGTCCGTACCTGATTCGGCGAGGCAAACACACTCACCACCTCACTCCAAAATGTACATACACGCACATCCCTATTCACTGAACGATAACGTTTCACTGTCTCTACTACTTAGTTTTCTGAGTAATTGTTAGGCGTTTTTATTTACAGTAATATAGCATTTATTCGTTTCCGGTCAATAATTGCCATTACTCAATTTTTCAAACCTCAACCTTGCTAAACATCCAACATCCCCCCCCCCCCCCACCCAGAGATTTCCCTCAGTGAAAATTTTTATGAGGCTTTCAGCATTGTGACCTATTGTCGCTCTGTCTTGCAGCCAATTCATGAAACGGTATAGGTACAGTATAGTTCAGCATTATATTAAGTTGTAGCTGTGGAAGTACTGGTCGTTCACTATCCCCTTTTAGGTCAGGTCTGACAGATTCAATCAGACTTTCACTCCCCTGTTGAATCGGAAACTTTTAAATACATGCCAGCGAGTCTAGTACGACCTATTTCTGTCAGCCAATGCTCAACCATGGTTCGAGTCCTTGAGGGGAAGTGTGTCCCCCCCAGAAAAGTCCCAGAGCAAGAGCATACCTCGGAAGGGAATCTTAGAAGTGTACCTTTGCGCCACCAATGCACGAAGGACCCGTCCTTCGCGGGGTGCACCTCACTATTTGGCGCTCTTTGAAAGCATGTTCTCTATGTTCAACAAGTCAACATAGTAAATCAAACAATCACCGGAATTCAGAGGATATGAAGACTGGGACCAGTGAAATTGTCATTCAGTTAGGTTGCGCTCATTTTTTTTTTGTATTTAAATAGGCTTTATGTGGTATAATCAGCTGATGCCTCCGTAAACAAATGTATTCTGCGTGCCTTGAAACTTTTAATTTATGGCGCATTAATTGAAAGGGAATGCTCTTTTACTCATCGCTTTTTCCCATCAAAATTAATCAGCTCATTTTCTACAGGGTTTTACAGGTTAATGATTTTCTTCTGCACAATATAATTTAAAACAAATCACTTTTCTCTTTCATTCTTTTTATTCTCTTGACTAGCTCGGAAATAAAGTATTCTAAGCAATTTCAAGTACACATTTAACACATTCCTGGGTTTTTGCTTTAATCTATGAATGTTCCTTGCTATATATTGTTCATTTAATCATTGCGTTGATTAATTGACTTGTGTTAATGGGAAGTATCATGAGAGCACAAACATATAAGCTTTTTTCTAGATTTTCCAGAAATCTGCTCCATTCTTCTACTCGTAGGGCTTCAATCAAAATAAACGAGCCGACTTCCTCTTTGTGAGTAATACCTGGTTTCTAGCTAGAAGGGAATACCTCTAGGATATTTTCTACTCTTTCTTGCATGCAACTACGAATAGTATTTCTTTAGCAACGGGGTTTAATATGCTCACAAAACGATACGATTAAACTGGTAGCCAGTAGTACTTCTGTAGGCATGAATTTTGACAGTATATTGAGCTTGTATAAAAGTTTCCTTTCAGCGGATCCGGCCAGACTTTCCATCTACACGCCACCCAAGTTCACATTCCTTTAATAAAATTCTTTCTACCTGTATTAGACAAAGATTTATAGGCCTCTTATAGGGTTGAAAATAGGCTGATAGTTGTCATTAGTTGAATTGTTTTGGTGAAATCTTTGTCCCTTGAAGAATAAGTTCAACACGGTCTGCAAGCAAACAAGAAATCATAGAAGGGCACGTTGAACCACCACAGCGTGAAAAGCCCGTCTGTCACGGAGTTCATTACATTGTTTGTTCTATGGAATTACCTTTCATACGTTCAGCTAGGAGTCAGGACATTTAAAGGGAAATCCAGCGGTCTCTTTGGGACCTAATGGCCCCGCGCTTACCGAAGATTTTCCATTTTTCACATTGTAGTATCATAGCGACTTCTTTGCCCCTCTAAAGGGTACGCTTTCTGTCAATCATAGGTATCACAGACTCCCTGAAGTATTCATTCACTTCTTTCCTTACAATTAATGTTATTTCTTTTATCTACAATTACATCCTACGTTACTGGTGTTCACTAGTAGCCTACCTGGTACCTCACCTCACCTGGTAATATCACCGATATTTCCGTATCTTCAAATGCCTCTTAGAAAGTAGTTGAAGTAGTTTTGAAAGTAAAATGGAACCCCTCGAAGAATCTGCAGGAGACGATTCAGATTTTGCGACTTTTTTTGTTTATTTGTTTATATGCTACATAAGGTAGACGTGAGAAATAAGCAACAACACGGTGTAAATCCTCATACAACTATATAAGACTCAGTAATTCTTTCTTTACAAGTCGCTTAAAGTGCATATATGCAGGGGAGAGAAGTACTACCTGCGATTTCAAAGATATGAATGTAGAGCCTGCTCTACAGTTGAAACTGTGGAGCTTCAAGTTGGTTCGAGGCGTTGCGTATGAAATTTTCACGGAGCTGCCTCTGGCCCTTGAAACATTTCTAGTGAAGAACCTGGATTCATCAACTCTAGCAATCCCGTCAATAACTTAAATACCATACAGACATCATGTACCTTCCTTCGTGATTTTAGGCTATGAAGCTTAAACTTTTGGTTCCTAGAGGCTGGGTGAGGTATATTTATGCAGTTTTGTGAGAGTTCGTCATGACATTGCCATCGTGCCTTCATAACTTTACTCTTACTCTTTACTCTTTAACTTTACTGCAGTATGAACGAAAAGCAGGTTCTGAGAATCTTCTCGGGGCACTGTTCATCCTGTACCAGTGAAAATATCTCGTATAAACATCTTATTACTCTCAGAACAACTGTTTCTGGTTGCAACTTCAGACACCCTGATAGGAAATGGACCGCAGCTTGAAGGGTTCATCTTCAGATCTGCTCCCGAAGTTTTTAGACTCTAAAATATTGACTGCTCGGATAAGTTTTCAAAAGTTCGTGTTCCATAAATTCATCGATATCGCTTATGCCGAGCTAACTTTCAGAGCTCTTTTTCAATTACTATTATCAATGTTTACACCACGCGTTGCATCTTATTCTATAATAGTAATAGAATTTCGTAGAAAACATCCGTAGATTTCAATTCATACGGAATAATTTTTATTCTTATAGTCTGAGTTCTAATCATGCTTTCTTCATGCTATTGTGATGGGTAACAAGTATGGTTTCTCAGTAACTATGTTGTTTTTACATCTATTCGCCCTTTCACGGATCGATTTTCTGCAAGTTCTTCACAATGAAAAATTCTCTGCTTCAGTCTGTGTGCAGTGGTCTCTGATGTGCTGGAACTACTACTTTACCTCGTGTTACTCCAAAATTCAAAGATTAACTCTCATATTTTGAATACTCGATTGTTTTGTGTACTGTTTATCTAAGTAAAGACAGAGATCGCTTTCTGAGGGTTCCTCGAAGCATTAAGGGACAATACGCTGAACTTTGGAGACTGTATGCCTAAGCAACCACGATGAGTGCCAAAGTTATCGACACTGTTACCACTGCTGATAGCGCCTGGTCATCTGATCAAGATTCCTCCGGATCAAAGCATTTACGGTGGTCGAGTAAGTTATCCAAAAGTTACTCGAGTATCTACTCTGAACATTACAATTCTCACTACTCGTATTACCTTATGTGGCTGCAAAAATTACTTTCAAACGAGCAGCATTTTGTTAGGCATATGAAAACGTGTTCGCAAGTTTGTGGACATAAGCGGTTGTTTTCAGCTTTATCTACGAGGGCCAAGGTATACTACTACTTTATAAGTGGTATACGTTGTACTGCTATTTGTATTATACTATTCCTGTATATCTGTTCACTTAGCAACTTATCAACAGCATTTAGTCTGCTAGGAAGTCGTGGACTAGGTATGTTACAGTTCTTTACAACACTTTAGAACCTCATAATGGATTTAATTAATTCCCTCAAGCATCATAAGCATAGAATAAGTCCTTTGTAAGTACCATGGATAACATTCATATGAGTGGGACCCCTGCTGCTAAAGTTGTAGTGGCATATGGCCAATTACTCGGTCCAGAGTAGAGCGAAAGGGTTGGACTAGTCTAAAATGGCTGATTTGAGAGCAACGTCATTTTCGTGCTATCCAATAAACCATGAAATAACGTCACCCTTGTGTACGTGCATCAACATATAGACAATTTTTTTTTGAAACGGTGATCATTTCTGCGTACAGCAAAGGTACAAGTTGGCGAAAACAACTGGAATACTTTCAGGGAACTTCCCTTTCCTGATTACAATTTTGGCTTACTACTAGCTCTACCCTGGCTTATTACTAGCCAAATCCACACAGTAATAATACATATGCTCGTAATATTCTTAACACTTCTAGATCCGACTGACTAACGCTAAAGTGTGGTAGCGTATTCTGTCGCAATGATGGGGGGACCCTGAGCTTTTGAAATTTCAGGGCACCACGATGTATGTTACTCCAATCTATGTACCTTGAAAGGAACATAGAATCTTACTCGCCCTAGATCTTTGATACAATTCAGTGATATCGCTTGAATCAAGAGCTCTCGACAAGAATTTCCTGATTCCACTTAGCCCGACGCTATTCCTTACCTAAGCCATCTTCTAGTAGTATATACACTGAATCATGTTACAGTTTTTTGTAAAATATTAGGGTGGCTTTCTTCCCCGTAAGTATACATATTCGAGACCCCCACCGGGCTTTTTGAAGCATATCCTTCGGAAAGTGATCTCCCTTAGATAATCCCACATGACTATGCAAAGGACCGAAAGATTGAAGTACCAGGTGGTGTGTTTGTTAAGGGCACAGTTCACGATGAAAATTGTTTCTGAGGTTCCCCCATAGGATGAATTTGAGACCCCCTCGTGTAGCATGTCTGGTGTTGTCATGTCCGAAAACGGCCTAGTTAGGGCGTTATCAAGGTTCGAAGATTGTCTCGGGTGTATCCTCGAACGAGTCTCACTGGCATTATAGAGGCTGCACAGATCAACGTTCAAACAACTTTTCATGACCCATAGCAACGGTGAAAGGCAGTTCTGTACAGTTCTGGCTTGATGAAGTCAGCTCCTTGCGTAATCGCAACAACCGAAATCTCGTCCGAATACCCCTTCCATGTTATTTCCGTCATTTTAATCTCGTCCAACCTCTACTTTCCCTACTTTTGAGGAGACTTATTTCTCTCAAATCGGCGATTTTTCTCCCTTTCTTCACTACCAATGAGCTATTCTCAACCTATACTTCCGCTTCTCGACTAAAAAGTGGCGCCTCGAAATTATCGTGATCTGTGCCTTTAAAGTATTAGGTTCAGCTTTTGACTCATTACATATTAATAAGTTAAGCGAAGAGATTTGGCCTGAACCATGCCTGACCCGTACCGTTTGAAACGCTTCGTTGTTAAGAATCGGACCTAGCCTTCAATCCATGTGTTTCCAAAACGCAATCGAACATTTCCTACACTGCCGGGAAATGATGCCACAGTTCGGACATTTTTAGTGCACATGCTCTTTGTCTTGTCTACCATATCTGCTTTTTTTTGCAAAATATTCATCGTAGAGCTACCATAATCAGATTATAACAACGATGACTCAGGTTTACTAGCTCATTACAGTGGAGCTCATCACGCCTATAAAACCGGGAAGCTACTTAATATCGTGAAATCATCGAATAATCAACAAAAGTGCAAAGTTATATTTACGGATTGTTCTAGATGTCTAGGTCTACCAGTTGGATTTCGGTTGAACCCTAAACGAATGATGGCTTCCACTACCAACCCATAGGTGACTGAGCATGTTAATCATTGAAAATCAGTTTAAAATAGGAGATAGCAATGTTTTTGAATGTTTTCAAAGTAGTATCGATTGGATACTGGATACTGCACCAGTCGTAATTTATAGTACCTCCAACCTGATTCAGGAAAAGCTATAAAAGCTTCGCCATTGATCAATGACCCAGTGTCAGCAGTAGTCGTGGGAATGATGGCTACGGTCGTCCTACAGAGTGCTACCACCACTACGAACGTACTAGTGGGAATGATAGCAGCTGATAGTTCGTTTCTTGAATAAAATTAGCTCACTCTGTTGATTACTCCTTACACCTTTACTTTACTTTTTATTTATATTTCCAGTGTTAACTGTGCACGATGCTATTCCCGTAATGATGGGCTCAGAATTGGGTGGTACACTGGTTAATGCGATTGTCTCTCTAGCGTATTCAGGAAAACCAGAGGAGTAAGTTGATTATGTTGCTTCGTGTTTTCAACTAAATGCCTTTTGATATGTTTAACCAGTCTTTTGCTGGAATTTACTCCAGTATGACCGATCTTCAGAAAACGAAGCATAGCATGAACCAAATAAACACTAAGTAGTAATGCAACGCGCCACGAATTGGCCCCATGTCAGGGCGCTTTGGGGCTGATGTATGTCATCAATGACCAACAAAGTACATAGCCCAGGTGCTACTGGTATCAGAAACGAAAGTTGCAAATATGATGCCGAGTGGATACTGAATAATTGGACTTTGTAACGTAAATACTGATGTTATTCAAGTTATGATGGGCTCGCAGTTGTATGGTACATTGATGAATGCTACTGTCTCTTTAGCTTATTCAGAGCCTGAACCAGAGGAGTAAGTTGATGATGTCACTACGTACTTCACACCGAGATACCGTTTGATATATTTTACTTTTCTGTTGATGGAATTTCATTAGGACCAGACCTGATGCCTCCTCTTCGTAAAACTCAATTCGAGAAACCATGCGTATAGTACGGTCGTTTAATCACCTATTTTATTTTTGGAATGGCGTAGGGCTTCGCATTTTGATCGGTTCACCCAAATAGTGCCACAAGATTCCAGGAGTAATTGGAAACGGGAGGTGACCGACTGATTTTGTAAGGCCGAAGGTCAACTAAATTTGTTGCAACTTGCTTTTTTGAAACATCTGAATAAGTGCCCGGTGGAAAAAGGCTCATATGAGCGAATTAAGCGAAATCTCTTTCAATCTCTAGCATATTGTTAATTCAGCATCGCAGTTACTTAAAGGCACAGTTCACGATAAGTTTGATGTAACCTTTCCAGGATGAAAAATGAGTGTTGATGTAGAGGAGTATATCGGTGGCGAAGAAAGCAAGAAAATTCGTCTACTTCAAGCTTTTTGAAAGTAGCGGGAGTAGAGGCTGTACGAGATTACCGTGACGGTGATGGCATGTAAGGGGTGTTTGGACGAGATTTAACCTGCTCCCATTGCTCCAAGAGATGACTACATCCAGCCGAAATTGTCCGAAACTGCCTTTTGCAGTTGCCATGGGTCACGACAAGTTGTTTGAACTTCCTCCAATGGTTTCCTTGTGTATGGTGCAGCCTCTACAAAGCCGTTGGAACTCGTTCACTAGGGTGTGGCATTCACACCATACAACCTCTGGTCCTTACTGTGCCCTATCAAAGAAGTTTTTCGCCCTTATAGCGATAGGTATGGTATAAGGGGGAGCCTCGACTTTAGGCTAGAGAGAAATTCTAGAAACCTTTTATAATGTGAACTATGCCTTTAAAAATTGTTACAGTCTAAAAGAAGGTGTTTAGATTTCGCCGTGCCTTTGCGGCTGCCACACTTGGCGATGTTTTCAATGTCTGCTGCATCTTCATTATACTTCCTATGGAACTCGCTACAGGTTTGCATTAAACTTTACAAAAGAATAATTATTATAGAGGATTGAATTTGAAAACTTTAATATTCATCAGGTTTCATCGAAAAGCTGAGTTGGATAATCGTGGATCCATTAATCGCTGAACAAGGTATATCTCTAAAAACGCTCGACTTGTTAACGGATCCAGTCAACCGTATGATACTGGAGGTTCGTTGATCAATAAAGTTGTTATGTCTCTCAAATGTTGCTAGCTCTGCAAAGGGTGTAGATCCCCTCAGCTCTGTAGATTTAGGGACAGAAAACCAGGATGGAGCTAATGAATGCCCCACCTCCGGCCCACTATTTTATACGAGTGGCTGAGGTGTCATTTGAGTGCTGAAAGGGTATGGAAATGTTTCATCTACTTTGAGGGGCAAGATGTCCGGCCCGAAAACCCACAGTAAGGGTTCAAGTGTCGAGGAGTCTGAGCGTTCTTCACACATTTCGGCGAACTTTCGAAGGATATGCGTAGAAAACTACGCAAAAAACGCTCAGTTACAAAAATTAGCAAGTTCTACTACTGCCTTTCTATAGTAGTTCTTATGCAGTGTGAAATGATTCAAAAGGGTACGGTGGCTTGAATCAAAAAGTTGGGTTAATGTTATTGTAGAAATAGTCCCGTAGAGTCCCAATATAAGAACATCAAAGACATCATTTATGCTTTCATATCAAAAAGAAAAAAGAATTAATCTAATCGGAGGACACTGCTAACAGTTACTATTCTGAGTCGGATGTCTGGCCCAACCTTTTCAGTCATGACTTACTACTTCAGATTTAAATTGGCACTTCTATAAATGTGAAAATTAAAGGGTAAAGTTTTTGACGTTAATCAATCCCGTCTGAGGAATGCACCCCGCGTTCACTTCCATTCGGAATCGTAGGGGCGTAATGAGTGAGCGTATGTGGCCTATACAATAACTTGCGGTGGCCAGCCGATGTACAAGTCAGTGTTTTTATCCTCCCAAATGAGCCTGGTACCAATTCACCGACCCCGGAGGGATAGAAGGCTTGGTTGGCTCAGGCAGGCATCGATCCGGGATTCGAGCGCGTGACCATGCGTGTGTGACAAAGCGCTCCTTGCCACTACACCACCTCCGCCCTGACACTTCAATAATTTTCAAATTCACAGTGCCCTCAGCGACAGCATTAGTCTATTGTGTGAGGAATTGTTATGCTGAACATGAATTTTTCGAGCTGATTTGAGTTGAAAGGTACTTAAGCTCGGATTTGGGAACGTTTGAATGCCGTGGTGGCACGTGATGACTCGGTGACGTCAATTTTGCTTGAAGTCCGAAGGATAAAGTTTTAAGTTTTTTTTTTGAAGAAAGATACGCCCTACATTTCACTTCCATCGCGAATCATAGTGGCGTTTTCGAATATGTATGTGGCCTATACAGTGACTTGCGCGGTGGCTGCCGATGTTCAAGTCAGTGTTTTTATCCTCCCAGACGAGTCTGTACCAACCATTGGTATTGGTTTTACGGCGTCATATGCAGCCAACACTGGTAGAAAATATATTACCAAAAGTTGATTTTATAGGTTTATCAGTCCCTTCATAAGCTTTTGTTCAGGTGAACGAACCAGAATTAAGAAACGCGACCATAGACGACGATTTCTTTCCACCTGATCATTCATTCGTTCTTCGATGTGTGTTCAAAAATGGTTCACGACTTTATAACTGTGAGTGTTTTTTCAGGAAATTTGCATATTATTGGAAAGTTTGTTGTTCCGAAATGTTGAAGAGTGATTGCCTGACATCTTCGTAGATGAATAGGTTGAAGCGCAGTAAAGCACTATGTTTTACATGTACTGCTTTCTATGAACCTCGGCATAATTATATTACTGAGTTTATTGATGTCTTGAACTCTTCACGAGGTTTATAAATATCCTTTATTAGGCTGACGTTTTGGCGGAATTGCCTTGTTCAGAGCCTGAAAGGACCATAACAATCTTTGACTACCCGATCAAACGACTCCACCAACCCACTAAATTCGAGACCCCCAGAGCACGCAGGTGGTCGAAAAGAGAACCACTCACAGTAGCTTTGTGGGTTTTTCGAAACCAACCAGCAACCGATGATAACAATAGACCAGTCTCAGCTGGGGTAGGTCTTCATTCGAAGTCTCTGTGGGAAGGCCAACTTCATATAAGGCCGCAGCTCCCGCGTGATTGCGAGGCATTCTTCCCTACGACTCATTTTTGGATCGGTGACTTGTATCCAAAATGCCTCGAGGGTTTTACGCGCGCATAATTGCGACTCCCGAGCCACGACCTCCACGGGGACTTCAAAAACCTTCCGTCATGCTTCTGAATTCTATGTTTTCGCTTTACAAACTCGGTATTACTCCAAACACGGCAATATTATTGTTGTCTTAAGGATTTGGTTGAAACGATTTCATTTGATTTGATTTCAAACTGAATATCTGCCAAGTGTTTTCCGCCATTGCAGCAAACGATCCTTAAAGTTTCGTATAAGTCTTGCAAACATTTCTTGCGGTATTTGGCAAACTTTCATGAGGTAGTAAGCAATTTTCCTTCTTCATTTGCCTCTTGGTATTCAGAAAATGTTTAAAATTCTGAGTTCTGGTGAATTTTCACAGCAAGAGTTCGCAGAAAGTTCAGTCAGGCGAGGCCACGGAGTCACCTCAAGGAAAACGTCCTAAAGAGGTTTTTTGAAAGAAGCAGTGATGCACGAGATGCTTGGCTATGGCCCCATTCTGTTGGAACCAGCACTGCAGAAAAAACCTCTGCCCAGTACTTGCTGCAAGGGATAAAACAAAAAGTTTTTTGAACCATATCTACGCCGCGTTCTAAATAGCTTGGCGGTGACAGACCGATTTTTTCTTCAAGAAGTTCGATCATCTCCGTTACTTACACCGTCAGTCTACGGCCTTATCACATTATGTTCTGTTTGTTTATTTGTTAGAAAGTTGTGTTTGTTAAGGCTTCAGTCAAATTAAACTTACCTCGTCATTGAAAATTGCCGCCTGAGGCAAATATTCAAGCGTTTTTCAATGGCAGCGATTCAGTTTTTATTGGTGTACAAAAAATCTTGATCAACAACTATTTTATACGAATGGGGTGTGGTGCAGTAGGAACGGAATTGTCGCGTCACGGCTAGAGAGACGTCGCGCACGAAGGAATGTAGCAGAATCCAGCAGCAAGTAAGTAATACAAGAACAAAGGAGCTCATAGTAGAATCATGCCTAAAATAAGGATCGCATACCGATAGCTGTATGAAGAATGCTAGAACTGTAATGATGAGGCAAATGGTCCGCGACAGCCGCGTGCGGCGGATCGATTACACAATACCGTTCCTACTGCCCGTCTCTCAGCAACCATACCCTAAGCTTCTAAGTATCTTGATTTTTTCGGCTATACGAGCTGTCCCTGGCCTCCATTTCCACTTTTGACAGCAGGTGTTGATTCTGTGAAGTCTGTGGCCCACGAAATAACCGATTTCCGTTTAATTGTTTCTATACTTGCACCTAGGCCAAAAATTGTTTACCTCGTTACTTTCATCAGTTTCATCCGAGCTTGATACGACCGCATTGGGAATAGAGAAACAGTTCTGTCACATCATGCATTTTACGGTTTTTTATGGTATATTCTATTCGTATTTTTGGTGTACTTACATTTTTGATATTTTTGCTTTTTTGAATATTCCGTTCATTTTGCATTAATTATAAGGAACCTTCAACCCAGGGATTTGATCCATCTTCCCCAGCTGTATAAGCGTTTTGTTCGAAAGTTGGCATCAGTGAAACAGGAACATAGTCATTCGAACTTGTAGATTTATGATTCCGGTAAATGCCGCATTTGTACTTTATTATCCTCTATGGTACTGGTCTAACTTGTGTCTCCCTCTATTATGGCAATTATCGGTATCGGTGTACACTAAATGGCCCGATCAAGGGGAAACATTGACCAAGCCGTATTTTGTGGTTCGAGAACCAGATACAACAAAGATCTATAATCATAGCGATTGACAAATTTTACAAAAGATCAGTCTGGAATTCAGTTTATTGCCTTATTTCTATCATTATTTCATTTTATATTATTTTTATTCAATGGACATAATAGAAACTCATAGAGAAGCAATGGAAAAAAGATATCTATTTCTCCAGTCAATTTTAAAAGTATCTTTTTTCGGCTGCCTTTGGAAAAACTTATTGAAGCGCAATTAAGGAATGACCGTTTCAAAACTAGTTAAAACCAACTGGCTTGTTATGCTATTCCTCTTCGGGCATCGGATCTTCCAAGTGGGCACTACGGGTGTGGTGCAGTAGGAACGAAATTGTCGCATTGCGGCGAGAAGGACGCCGCGCACGAGGGGCTGTAGCAGAATGCAGCAGCAGGTAAGAAATGCAAGAACAAAGAAGTGAGAGTAGAATCATGCCTAAAGTAATGATCGCATATCGATTGAGCTGTATGAAGAACGCTAGAACTGCAATAACGGCGAAAGAGTGGTCCGCAACAGCCGCGTGCGGCGAATCGACTAAAGGAATCGGTTCCTACTACCGTGTCCCGGGCACTCCTGCACTCTCAGAATCAAATAGGGTTCCGAAAGTTACTCCGGGTATAGTTCAACAGAAACGTAACTGATCTCAGTCGGATAAATTGAACAGACAAGCTTTTCGACGTGATTCAGAGTTTCAAATACAGATTTCTCGTTTCTTGTATGAGAGTATCGTACTGGAATTCAGCAATGACAGTACTGGTGACAATACTGATGAGGTATTGACACTGTTCGCTTCCGCAAAGCTCTGAGTCCTGTGGAAATTTAGGTTGAGAGATTTTATCAATTACAGATGGGGAAGAGATGCAATAAAATGAAGGTAGAATATATTTCCTTAGAACTACTCTAACATTTCATTTTCCAGGTCCCTATAAACACATTTTTGCCTATACGTCACTTTCGGATTCATTGATTGGATGGATTGTTCTCGTATTTTCCATAGCAGTCCTAGTGTTTTGCCTAATTGGAATTGTCTATCTGATACAGGCAATTTTTACTTTTTATTTTTTACATTACTAAGTTCCCTTGGACCAAGCACTTAATGAAAACAAATGGAATCGATTTTAAGCAGTAATCCCGAAGCCTAATCGGTGCCAAGTTCTCCAAAAAGGAGAAAAGGTGTTTGGTATTCCATCATACAGTAGCGGCCAAAAGTCTTCGGTGAAACGCCTTTGCAATCGTAACTTTTTCTAATTGAGAGATTCAAGAGAAACTTTGATATGTCAAATCTTACCTTAAACCAAACTAGTTTCTACTTTTTGGCCTCAAAATTGGGGAATAGATGACCACGAGCAAAGGTTCTACTACAGAAGCGATTTTTTCCGATTGCGAGGTTAGCGATAATTGCATTTTTTGCATCCCTTTTGTGCCCAACTTTCAGGGCACGCATAGAAGGACAGTAGTCTTTCAGGGAGCCCGGCAGGCAGCATTAGACGGGCATAAAAGTCATGGTCATTTTGAGAATTTTGAAGGACCCGCAGCAGATGATTTCTTCGATTATCCAACGCTGTCAGGTCAGGAACTCTGTTTGCAATGCTCAGAAAACGGGAAGACTCCGATGTTCTTTATTAGCCCAGGACAGACTGATCGAATTTCGGTCGAGGGCTGACCCTCGCCTCACTGCGGCTGACATTGCCGTTGAGTTTAGCGCTAGCGATGGCACCATTGCTAGTCGGCAGACTATAGAAAGACACCTAACAAGTGCACTTATTTATGGGAGTTGTTCGGCCAAAAAGCCGTACATCAGTTCAAAAAGTAGCCTGTCAGCTCAACTGGACGTCGACTGCCTGTAGCAAAGTTCCCTCTACAGATCCGAGCAAGTTCAATTAGCTTGGAAGCGACGGTAAACGGTGCGGACGACGTCCATTTGAGGGGAGGTTCAATGCAAATACACCCTTTCCACAACCAAACACGGTGGAGGAAGTGTGATGGTATACGGTGATTTCTCCTCAAACGGAATGGGCCCTATTTTGAGAATTGGCGGCACGATGGCAGGGGAGTAGTACGAGAACTTGTAGGTCGACATCGTTGGCCATATACACAGCACCACATGCCAGCAGGATAGATCCTGCAGCAGCGTAATGATCCGAAACACTTCTCAATAGTTGTGAAGGCGGCCTACAGTGAACAGCTAACCATATTTCTGGAGAGGTCCAGCCAGACATCGGATCTGAAAACAATAGAGCACATGTGGGGAGAGCTCAAAATGTGTTTTTCGAGCAAACTTTGTGAAAACAGCAAAGGAGAATTCGCTTAATAAGCGAAGAAGTAAACGCTATGCCAGTGTCTACCATTCTAAAACTGATAGACTCGATGTCTTTCCATTGCGTTGCTATCATCAAAAGACGAGGCTTTCCTACCAAATGTCGATGTTTTTGATGTCGCACATGTTTCTATTTCGAAATAAAGCGGTTTTTTTAAATTGATGCTATAAGTATTTCCCACTGCGTTTGAGTTAAATCTCACTAATGTAATGTGAACAACAGCAAATTGCAGTTTAATAGCGGTGAGTAATCATGATATGTCTTTGATTAAAATACTAGATTTTCATGTGATTTTATGAACTAGGAAAAAAGTTACATTTGAAATAGCGTTACACCGAAGACTTTTGGCCGCTACTGTACTTCACTACCGCGAATCGGCAGAAATAGTAGACCGGCTCCCAATTGTTCCATAACGATGTGGTTCAAAAAATCTGTTCTACAGCTGCTATGATTTGGAAAACTGGGAATATTAGTTTCTTAAGTCGAAGTTTTTATGTGTATGTACCTATAGGTGTGAAGCATTAGGCTATACTCACAAGATCTATGACCCATTGGGTTTCCAACAGATTGGTATTACAGACGCTGCTGAAAGGCCCTTCGGCTAAATATGTTCGAGGTCTTCTTGCTAAAGAATGCCCTGGAAGATGGAAGTGTTGTACCAGCTACACTGTAATGCTCGTTGGGCTGATTATAACATTAGCTGTGAGTTTGTAAAAAAATTTCGTTGATTGGATAAGCTGTTAAAAAAGGATTCAGAAAACTTTGTGTACGTCATCCATATATGGCCGTATCTTCAAACGTCAACCAGGGGCCTCAATACTCCAGGGCCAATGATAATGCCTATAAGCTCCTCTCAAGTTCAGCCGATACACCTTTCGTAGGTGGAAAAACTTAGTTGACCAAGAGGTGTTGGTAGGCTGCGTGCCACCAACGATTTGGCTCGTTTCTCCATACATCCGTGCTGTTCCTCTCCGACCTGTGCTATCAACCCAGGTGCCCTCCCAATCGCTAACACAAAAGCCTATGGTTAACATGATATTCTGAGGTTAACCTAAAAAAGCGAGAAGAATTTTACATTGGGGTCCAACTTGTTATTGTCCTCACCGTATCATTTTCATCTGCCAATCGAGCCATTTTTGAAGGAGGTAGAGTTATAGCATGTGATACACAACCTTGGTAACCCAGCAACTTCTACGCAGCACGTTTGCATAACATGCTTACAAACAGTACTTCCAAAGAAGGAGGCGTCTAGCGACCTTGTAGAAGTTTTTGCCAAACGAAATGGGCACGTTCGTTGTAAATATACTCAGATGATGCTCCTCAGTAGCCAACACATGTTGCTTTTTTTTAAAGGGAACTTGTCCTGACTCTCCCTCCTCGATCTTCCTCATTGGAATCTCGTCCAAACTCAGAAATTGTTCAATTCCGGCTTCCGGTATTCCTGCGAAATTTCTGTTTTTTTTTTCTTGAAACGATGAACTGCTCTGCATTGACACCTTCCTCATAATCCATTGAAGAATCATGGAATTGTCATGGACTCAATACTTTTAGTCAGCGTGAAGAAATCTCATTCGCACTGGTAAACAAAATTTCAGATCCAATCTAACAACATCTTCTCGTCAGCCCTAACACCACTGGTCGGATCGTGTGTGATAACCTTGGGACAAATGTACCCTCTCATCTTGGGAGCTAACATTGGTGGATCGTTCAGTGCGGTCCTTGCAGCCCTTACTGCGGATGGATCTCGCTTTGAGAAGTGAGTTTTCTTGTAGCAGTACAACAATTCACTATAACTTTATTTAAGGACTTTACAAATGGCAGTTTGCCAAGTACTTTACAATGTCATTGGTACGTTTATGTTCTTTTTGGTTCCATGGACGAGGACGTTACCTATCTATTTGGCAAGACGTCTTGGCGAAATAACTGATCAGGTATGTCGCTTCACTGGGCAGGATGTAAATCATAGCTGATGGAAATTAAGCATCGCAAAATCTCTCTTGACACGGATGCTGGGTAAAATCAGGTGTTTCCTGGGGTTATGCTTATTCTGTCGGGGTACTGTATTACTAGTGCCCATAGTTATGCCATTTGATACAAAATAAAGCAATAATATATGGTTTTAGTATCGATGGTTTATAGTCGTCTTTATTCTGCTGTTTTTCGTGCTCATTCCTGCTATTGTGGTCGGACTAACGTTACTCCCAGACTATGTGATCATAGTTTTCTTCACAGCAGTATTCATCTTCATTTTGTTGATTATTATAATCACAACTATGCAGGTGACGTTCTTATTACAGTATACTACTATATTACTATTGGTAACTAGTTCATAGCTTTGTTTAGTTCGCGACCTAACCTTTGAAATTTGAGCTGAACTTTTCCCAATTTTGCCCACCGCTAGCTCCGGTCACTTCGGAGCACCTTCGACTCCATCCACTTCCATTGGACACTCCCTAGAGCATTGAGCTATCGCAATCTTCATCGCAATAATCGTAGAGCGTACACTAATTTCATCCATAAATTGTGTAGTCCTGCTGCATTCAAACTTCTACTTCGAAACCCATTTGTATACTTCGATGGAGAACGCATTTTTCCAGAAAAGCTTACTTCGGAAAGATTTCTATCATGGCGCATTCACAGAGCAGAAACTTCGAAAGGAGCTTATCGCGTTTTATTTTCTTCCAAACTTTTCGACAAAGTTCCGTTGCTAGAGACAGCTAACTAGTAGAAAATCCTCACTACGGGTCTCAGGCTAGACGGAGGTATAATGCTTAGCGGAACTTATCTGAGAAGAGCCATGCGCATGTGCGTAACATCTGACTAGCCTTCAAGAATGACAACGGACGTGCAATATTAATCGGGTGTGGTGCAGTAGGAAGGAAATAGTCGCGTCGCTGCGAGAGAAACGTCGCGCGCGAAGGAATATAGCAGAGTGCAGCAGCAAGTAAGAAATGCAGGATCAAAAGAACTAACAGTGGAATCTGCCAAAAGTAATAATTGCATAGCTACTGAGCTGTATGAAGAGGCCTAGACTGTTATAACGAGGCAAATGGTCCGCGACAGCCGCATGCGGCGGATCGATTACACGAAACCGCTCCTACTGCCCATCTTCCGTACCTAATCTTAATTCTAGGTTTTTCGTAATATTGGGAACTTCCGATAAATTCCAAAAAGGCGAGAGCTCCTCAAGACTATCATATTACAAGAGGCAACTTCGTACCAGTACAAAACGGAAAGTTCACCACAGTACCAGTGAAGCAAAGGAAATCAAAGTTGGCCCTGTATAGTGTCGCTTGTGCGTCCTTGTCCACTATTTGCGCGTCGGGTTGCAATTTCCTCATGGGGACGAGAATTCGGACGAGTTTTCATCTACCTATGCATTTACCGTCCAACATTGATGTCTAAAAGATTTTCGTGCACAAATATTATGTTTCAGAAATATTGCCCCCATGCACTACCGTCTCTTCTGCGATCATGGCAATGGGTACCAGTATATCTGCGGTCACTTCAACCGTATGATCCTGTGATGACGCCATTCTTTACATCCATTCCATTCGTTGGCGGATTTTTCAAAAGTACAAAAGTTGATAGTCATAATAATTATAGCGAACCTATCCATAAGATGGTGAAGCTCAGCAAACAAACTCAGGTTTAACGGGTGTATAGATCGCTCATAAACAGCATCTAGTTGCTTTAAATTCACTGTACCAAAGGCTGATACCAAAAAATGTGTACGGGGTACATACGTTGCAGTTGTATGTGACCAATTAGTTCTGCTAGTAGTTATTGATATGTATTAGTGCAATTTTTAGTGCTGAGCTCTTCTAATATTGTCAATGTGTGCGTCTATACGAGTATCGCTCATCACTGAAAAACTTTATTCTCAATTGTTCTGAGAAGATAATATTAATCAGTCATGCACTAAAATATGTAATTATTATATTCATATCTGTACTCGTAAAAACTGGTAACTCAGAGGATTCATTGCCAGATTCATTAACGCCAAAACAACCCGTCTAGTTTGAATGTGGAGTGGCAGGTGAAAACCTAGCGAATAATCGGGGTGTGGTGCAGTAGGAACGAAACTGTCGCGTCGCGGAGAGGGATACGCCGCGCGACGGACCGACTACGAAAAACCGTTCCTTCTGCCCGTCTCCCGAATAATCGCATCCGTTCTCATGCTTTTGAAGCCTCTTACAAAGTTCTGTGGGGCCAAAATGAGCCATGCATCTCAACCGCTGGTGCAATACAAAACTTCAGAACAACAGGAGGTCTTCTGATGTTGATAGGCACCATCCCCGTCTTTTCTATGACAGTCAAACATTTGCTATGTCAGCACCGTATTCGTCACCAATCCGTGATGAAATGCCTGAAATTTTTATTATGATTTGGCTGCGATCCATGACTGGGTTCCTGGGACGTTTGTTTATTTTTTTATTTGTTTATCTGTTCATACTCTACATAAGGTAGACGTGAGTAGTAAAGAACAGCACCTATAAAACCTCATACAACTATATAAAACTCAGCAATTCTCCCTTTGCAAGCCGTTTGAAGTTAAAGTGCACATAGGTGACATATGCATTCGAAGTGAGACAAGCTAGCCGATTGACCTTGGGACTTGGAAAGACAAACTTAAAAATTTTCTTCATTTTCAAATCACAAACAGTTAGAGCGAGAAAAATGGGCGAGAATTGGCATAAGTTTATTGTTTAGTGATGGAAAAGTATACCATATTTGTGTCAGTCTACTAGTTTTGATGTCGAATTTCCACCAAAAATTATCTGAAACCTTCTGAGAACCACCAAAGCTCCATAGCGCTTGTCGCACACGCTGATTTTTTACTACTCATTCAACACTTATGGGTCGTTACAGTTCAATTGCCAGAAGAGCGCTCCTAGAAGGGCTGGTAAGGATTCGCTGGCCACGGTCGTACTGGCCCGTTCACTTTCCGCAAAGAGGGCGGGCCCACCGATCGGCACAGTAGGCGAGGGTGTTGAGGTTTCACGACACTGCTTATTGGGCGCTTACTCTTAAAACATACGTGTTGTAAGACGTTTTGCGGTGATTTCTTGCACGGACGATCAAATTCCTTCATGAGGAAGCCCTCGACATTTTCGTTGTAGAGCCTTACCAAAGCCTTTACTAGTAACTCACGTGGTACGAATAAGAATTGTAAACTCACATAACAAAATAGCAGAGAGGCCAAAAAGAACTGCACTAGTTACAGCCATATAGAATGACCACGAGAGAATACTCCTTTCGTGACCCTGGAACAGATCAATGAACTCTCTCTGATGATCTTTAACTGCACTATACATATTTATCAACTACGCTGCAGATTTTGCGATGGGGATAGGAGGGTCGGAAGGAAGAAAGAACTGAACTGGGTCCAATTCCTGAAGGCATGCTAGACCCGGGTTACCATTCGAATGAATACAATGCTATCCACTTTTGGGGAAAGGGTTAGACCAGTTTGTTGGTTGGCCATCCAGAATGAAAAGCTAAAAAAAGCCAAGGGTATACCACTGAGCTCCTACTTATCATCTTAAGAGAAATCATTAATTCTCAGCCCTTTATAGGCACAGTTCACGATAGCTTTGAGTAACCCGAATTATGACAAAAAATGGAAGATAAAGTGGAAAGTAGTGCTATGGAGGAGGAGGAACTGCGTGGATCGGTGTTTTCGAAGTGAAAAAGGCTTCCAAATATTGTTAAAAATGGGGCTGGACGAGAATGGGACCAGAAGAGTGAAGATGAGTGGGGCGTTTGGACGAGCTACGCATAGCGCGTCATTGCGCACGTATGGTTCCTGATGCAAATATCTGGCTACTGTAAGCAAAAATTCACCCGTTTATAAGCATAAGTAAACAAAAAATCCTAGTTACAGCAAAAATAGCTCAGCTTTTTCAGCCTCTAGGAGTAGGAAATTAAATAAGGGGTCGCGGCAGCAAAAAAAAAAACAGAGGAAAAAAGAATGGGAGAAAAACATCGCCTCATCACTCGGCGATTAGCTCATTGTGCGTGGGTCCTAGAACGAATATTCGTATTCTGTATTGCCTCTACCCTCGTCTGACGTGACATCGATCGAGAGGCGGGAAAGCGAATCAAGACAGCTTCAGGGCTTCCACTATGCCCTGACCGTCGAGATTTTGGGAGCGAGAGGGACCCTTCTACCACCCATTGGAGTATTGATAAGGTAAGAACTCAAATACCATTTTTATCGTGAACCGTGCCTTTAAGATGTTCGATATTTCAATTATTGATTCCGATATGCGCTCCAACAGAATGACTTGTTTTTTGAGTAGGTTAGGAAGTTTACTTTCGATCAACTACCGATATTAAGCCGATATAATCTTGACAACTATTTCAACTGCACCGAACTGAAACTTTACAGTAATGAAAATTGGTAACTCACATATTCATAAGGATATAAGTCGTGCATGGGAGTGTGTTGAAGAGTGAACGTCTGCCCTTCAAGATTAGCCTGCCAATAAACAAAGCAAGCGGTTCCGACGCACACCCCTAAAAAAAATAAATTTCCAACTGTAACGGCACTTTCCAAGAGAAATACATTGGGAATATTCAGAGCAGTGATGAAAGGTTTACTGAAAAGTAGAGTTTTCAATTATCAGACCTGTCAATAAGACGATAAATGTCGTTGACATGCGGCATTTTTGACAACAGAATGGTCCAGTTATTACTACAGCACATGACATTACCATCGATGATATTAACAGACCAGCGATTACCACTTCGAATGCTGAAATAAGCGAAATTAGCACAAGGGAGAAATTTGCAAGGTAAGGCTACTGGTAAAGTTTGAGTATTTGTTGAAAATCCGAGTTCTGTAAATTAACCCATCGCTCCAATTTGTGGTAGTGTCGGCTTCTGGCATTCCTACTGCTGGCCGTACTGAACGCTTTTGAAGGATTCTGAGACCTTTATACCAAAGCCTTTGGGTGTGGATCACTTCCATTTTGGGTCAGTGCGGCCTCACAAGTCGAGCCGGTGCTCTAACCTCCCAGAAGAAGTGGCGCCAAATGACCGAATGATAGAAGGTTTGTTCTAAGCGGGTTCAATGCGAATCATAATCCCCGGGCCATGCGTGTGATAGAATGCCATTTGACACTACATCGCCTCTGCCCAAAATACTGTAACTATGGCATTAAAACACGGGGCATTACAGCTGGAAACATGCCAAGCACATGCAGGGGAATTTTTTATTACCACACGAATATGGACTTACTTTGTGTAGGCAAATGCCTGTAAACAAGCATTCGACTAGGATACAGATCGTAGTCATCAAAAAACCAGCGCAGACGTTGCAATACGGACGATAAGCGCATATGGCAATTCCCATAAGTACGAGTTGTCACGCATTGTTTCAGTATCCCTCGATGCATTTGCAGCGCATCTAAAAATTATTTAAATATTAAGTCTGTTTAGCAGCCCGCAACCCTTCAAAGTGCCTTCTCTACTCCTCAAAGAAGTAAGTTGTAGAAGCTTGTAGAGTTTACCTTCAACACATTACTAGTGGAGGCGGCTCCGCTTTTCTGAATCGACGCCTACTAACTTGTATTGGAGAGCAAGTAGAGGATCGTACTTTTCAGTCCCTTTTAGAGCCCTTTCAGATGGTAGGCCACCAGAGATTTGGCAATATCCCAGGAAATCCACTTCTTTCTGAGTGCCGCCCCTGATCTGCTTGCGGCCCAGCGATTTCTGGCTAGTTGCCTTGCTATGCGTCATATCCTAGCTAGATGTTTTTACTAGCTGTCTCACCGCTCATCCTGCAGCTTAGTATTGATGTCCCTTGCCTTCTAAACTATACAATTCAAATTGTTCCGACGCAATTAGAGATAATTGCCGGTAGAGTCTAGTCGAAGCTTCAAAGAAGTCTCAAGAACTACTCTCAGTTCTTGAAAATACATTTGGTTCCCTTCCGTTTTATCGAATAAAAAGATTGGGTTGAGGCAAAAGGGCAGTACAACTTTGAGATACGACTTTTTGCAATAAGCTCGCTGACATGCAATCTCGTGAAAGCCACCCGAGTCCGTAGTAAGGAAGTACATTCGAAGAAAACGCTGACGCTATCCCTTCGAACGGATGTTAGGTAATCCTCGCCCCATATTTTTCTAAAAAGTGTAACGTTGTAGGAAAGCAGGGATTTTCGATTCTGAACTGAATCGCCACAGAGAACGCATTCACAACTTTTCCTAGAGGTCGTCGCCCGGGAAAACGCACCCAAAGGTCTCCCCGTCAGAGTAAATTTTATTTATGATGGTGTTGTTCTTGAGCATTATGAGGTTTTCATTTTGAACAGTGTGCACAAGCCAGTGCTATTGCCCTCCCGGACGAGCCTGGTTCCAATTAATCCGATCTAATTAATCGACGCCGAAGAGGCGGAGGATTTAGTTGGCCTGGGAGAGTATCGGTCCTCTTTCCAAACTCAATGCGCGTGCGATGGCGCGCCTTCTGGCGATACGCCATCTTCGCCCACTCCAATAGTGAGATAAATAAACAATTTCATACATAACCAGTTCTTCCCATTAATTATGAACATGAAAACTCGGACTTGAAACTTACTAGTAATCATCGGTCGCAAGAAGTGGACGGCGAATGTACATGTGAAATGAGGCTACTGATGACACCCTCCTAAGGGAATATAGGACAGCACTGATAGAAAAAGGTCTGCTTTCATAGATTCATCGAGCTCTATGTAAAATCAGAAAATTCGAAGTGGCAACTATCGAAGAAAATTACTTCGAAAACCCTTTCAAAGTAATTTTGCGATAAGAAAATATTCTGTTTGTCAAGGAATCTAGCAAAGCTTGAATTCATTGAACCCCCTAGAAATTTCGTGGTCGACATATACCAAATTCCTGTCGGATATACATATCGACAGCAATCTGGTATATTTCGATCAAAAAATTTACAGAGGAGCAAAGGGGAGGGGGGGGGGGGGGGGGGGAGGTTCGATAGCCGCTGTATTGCCAGCAAAGGAGTCAGATAGGAAGAAGTCGACGGAGTGGAGTTAGTCATTGAAGGCAATCGGAGGCTACATATACGCTAGGCGCCAGCTGCTTCTAGTTCTTTGGCACTTTTTCCGAATGGTTCCATCCGGCTGACTGTCCCTTTGGCCCTTTTTTATGTCACAGCTGGTGAACTGCCGCTTAGCTAGGGATTCCTAGAACTATTCCAGTTGCTTGCGCGATAGCGCGATATATGTATGTGGTGGACAAGGAAATTACTAGGTATTAACAAAAGGGCAGAAGATAATGTAGTCAATAATACGTGACAATGTGCCGCATGGAATGGCTAGCATTTGGCTGAGTACGTAGCTATTTGCATATGTGTTTGATCTAAAGTAGTTACTTAAAGGCACAGTTCACGATAATTTTGAGGTACCCGTTTTTATTCGAAAGCGGAAGTATAGACTGGGAATAGTTCAACGGTAGTGAAGAAAGCGAGAGAATTCGCCGATTTCGAGAAAAAATGGCCCCTCAAAATTAGGGGAAATAGATGTTGGACGAGATTATCATGACGGAAATGACATGAAAGGGGTGCTTGAACGAGATTTCAGTTATTGCAATTTCACAAAGAGCTGACTAGATCGAACTAAAACTGTACAGAACTGTCTTTCACTGTCGCTATGGGTCATGACAAGTTGTTTGAACTTCCTACATGAATTCCTTTGTGAGCGGTGCAGCCTCCACAATGCCGGTGAAACTCGTCCGAGCCCACACACGGGCCAATCTTTATGCCTTTATATCTTCCCGCTATATGTATGACTAGGCCGTTTTCCGACCTAACAGTGACAGATATGGTATACGCGGGGGCCTCAATTTCATCCTGTGGGGGTATCTCAGAAACCATTTTTATCGTGAACTGTGCCTTCAATGGCCAAGACAGAAGTTTTGTAATCTAGGGCCAATCTCATGTAAATCTTGTCACTGTTAGGTGGAGGGTGTGCTTTGACTGCTTGAGACCAAAAGCATGTGTTTCACCTCTGTTCCTAAATGCAACTGTATATAACACAGAATTCGTAAATTCAAGGTAACCATGAATGATCAATCTAGTTCCCATAAATATATATATTTATGTATTTTATAGTGGAGGTGGTACAGTGGCAAGAGGACGGCACTACCACACATATGGTTTTGGGGCTCGAATGCTCGACCAATAACAACCAAACCTTCCATCGACTAATCCGGCGTTAAGCTTAGAAAATGAAAACGTCGACTTGTTCTAGACACTTGTAGCCCCCTCAAAACATTGTTTATCTGAATACATCTTCGACTACCTCCACAATTCTTAATAGAAGCCAAACACCAAATGGGAACAATCAATTTCTCGGAATTTACCTTTTTATTTTATTACATAATTACAATGTAACCAGTTTTGAGCTGATGTTTTGTTTACTGCTGTTATTCGCCGATCCAGGATGGAAGTTTCAGGTAATCACAATACTTCTCTCTTAGTCAGCGCAGATGAGAAAAAAAAATGAAATAAAAATTGAACAAATTGTGGCAAACTTCGAACACATGTAACGAAGAGAACTGGTTATGTTTGAGATTGCTTTATCACTTTTTCTTTCAATTTCAACTTCAACTATGAGGTTCCAGGGGTCCTAAAGCAGCTGAGCCTGTGAAAGAACCTCAAGGCATTGCACACACACAGGCACCATGGTTAAAATTTTATATACCCGATCATAATTTATCATGAATATTTCAAAGCAAATTCAACCTCTGACTCGGTATAAAAATCTTTGAGCCACACGAGATGCCAAATGAAAAATCTGGTCCGGCTTTGAGAAGATGAGGCAGGATTACAGCTCCGAGAAACCTTTCATCAAAAGCGGTGAAAAAGTTCGAGTAATTAATTCCACATTAAGAAATTCGACTACGACTTGAGGAGTGGAGGAATTTGAATAATTGTTGGTGTACTTGTTTTAGATGTCCTCATAAGTAATTCTTAAAGAATAACTCAAATGGATACATGTATGAAGAGCTACTTTGAATCATGCCAGAATACACCTATGGGGCGTTTATATGCAAACGGTACTCTTAGAACAATTAGATTGTTTTTTGTTAGATTGTTTTTAAAATTGGGAATGTCTCCGTCTCGAACGCCTGCCGATAGAGGTTCATTTGGTTGCGGACTTCTCAAGTAAGCAATCACACTATATGAAGATATGGGTGACAAGGTTGAAGTCACATAAAAGTGAAGCACAGCTTCTTAAGGATGGAAGCGGTACTGGGAGCCCATTACGAGTCAAACAACAGGCAATGAATCCCCTCAAAACAAGGTCTCCACTCCAAAAGTACATTATTCTGCTTTGGAATGACTGCGAGACTGGGTATGGTTTAGGAGTACGTAACAGTCGAATGGATCGAATAGAATTCAAGAGTTCTAAATGGGTCTATTGCTTTAGAGGGAGGAGAAGCTAACGTAAAAGCTTTACTTGTATAATTCAAATGTTCTGTAGGTTGTAGAAAATCTAAAGAAAATTTTTAAAAAATCGTTAAAAGTTTGGGAGTGGATGGAGTTCTAGCAAGGAATATATGACTTCATCGACTATTGCTAGGAGACCGAAAAAAAGTGACAGACGTTAGTGAAAGATCTGACTGGATGTCATTCAAAATCATGAGCTTTTCTGCAGAGGGCACGAATTACCTATTGTCTTGCAACACTGACAAAGTGCAGATAAGAAAGGAGAAATTCTGCAGAGCGATAGGCTATCGATCGGGAAAATTGGTGTTTTGGGGTACGGTAGCGTGAGAAGCGAAACTATGCAATACTAGAAGGGAAGTTGTCTTCTAAGTGATATTTTACTGGTAATGAAGGAATAGGACTGTGCTTAGAGAAGTACGTCCGATTGAAGGAAATGGTCGTCAGGGTGTCATATTGAGGAGGAGAAACCTAGAGGCTGACCTTATCGATAGAGGATCGGAAAGGGCTGAGGTACCGAGAGCAATGGGGTCAATTTTTCTCACGTCCATGCCTGATAATTTCTCTCCTGAGAACACACGTCACTTTCTCTAGCAATCAATCCCTCAGACCCTCTCTATCTCACCTCCCTCATTACAGAATTAATGTGTTCCTGACGGTTCGTCAAAAACACTTCAGAAAAGGGAAAACGTTCACTTTGAAATGGATTGAATTTTCAGCCATTTTAGAGGTTTTCAAGCAAAGAAAAAAGGCCGATCACGTCAGGCTCTTGATTAATGAACCTATTCAGCATGTGCAATTCTTTCAAAAGTTCATAGAAAGATAACCTGGAATTCAATAATCACTATGTGGGCCAAAAAAATCGTGAATATCTTTTATTGTTTTAATATTATCAATGGGTGGAAGTGTTGTAGTGGCAAGCAGCGCCCTATCACACAGGCACGATCAAGGGTTC